TAAGAAGTTAGTTTGTATTGACAAATGGTGGCGAGGCCCTAATGTAAGTAAATATTTTACTGGTGCTGAAAAAAAAATAATGTTGATCAATTTTAAAATATTATTTATACATGTTTTTAATTTTTTACTATGTAAAAAATCGTATTATGAGATAAAATTAGCCAGCATTATTTATAATGCTGGCTAATTTAATCTACTTTATTAAACTATAATGGTATGAATATTATATTAACAGACTATCATCTTACTTATTTAGTTAAAATGGCTATTCCATAAGCGTATTGATCCATTTGTGAAACAACTGCAGCCAAAGAACAATAGAATGCATAAACAGCATTATGAAGGGTAAGTTGATATGACTGGAATGCCATCATCTGATTGCTCAAGATAGGCATTATCAGAAGAAGCTTTAAACCTATTTAACATTTCGGATCCAGAATTTGACACAGACTTTTCCACTGGAGATGAAGATCCACATAAGAAAAAAAAGCAAAAAAAAGTGGTAGTGCGGATGCAAAAAAAAGTAGTAAGGGAAGTAAAAGGAAAGAAAGAGATGATGATGATAAGAAAGAAAGAGACGACAATGATAGAAATGAAAGAGACGATGATGATAGAATTATATTATACAAAAGAAGAAAGAAGGATGGTAATACTTCACTACTACCACCTAACATTAGAGATCTTGCTGCTACATGGTTTAATGTTACTATAGTAACAACATTATCCACACTAACTACAACAGCAACAACAACAGCACCAACAGCAACACCAACAGCAACACCAACAGCAACACCAACAGCAACACCAACAGCAACAACAACAGCAGCAGCAACAACAACAGCAGCAGCAACAATGATAGCTGCAACAACAACGATGGCAGCAACAACAAAACAAACTAAAACAGCAGCAAAATCATCAAAAACAGGAGCAAAATCACCTTCAAAAGATACAAAAGGCCTCCCTATGAATGTTACAACAATATCTGACGAAGAGGCTGATATACCAAGTAAAAGTGTTAGTAGTGATGATGATGGTGAGGGAAGCGATAATGAGAGTAAAGGTGGAGATGAGGATGAGAGTGAGTGTGCAGATAAAAAAAGCAGGCAGGGTAAAAAAAGTAAAAAGAGAGGAAGGACTGCTGAAAGTAAAAAAACCAAGAAAAGATTGTGAAAGCGATAATGAATGTTAATTATAAATTATCATTTAATTTTTATTTTTCAAAATAAAATTTATTTGAAATAATTAAATTTAATAAATATAATATCGGTATATATAACATAAATATCATCTAATGAAATATTAAACAGTAAAATATCATATAAAATTTTTATATTATTGGTAAGATGA